GCATCAGATACTCGATCATGTGCTCGGCCCACTCGGTAAACCAGCACACCCATTGTCAATAACATGCCGCAGGCAGAACTCAATGAACACGTCGAGCTGATGGCCATCCAATTTCACGTTCGGTGGGCTCCGTCTCAACTGCTCTGCTATGCTTCGACCCAACCTCTTCAGCCTGGACAGGATGATGGGCTCGTTCGGCCTGCGCTTCGGAGTCGATGCAGCAGGCCTTTCTTCAGGGTTCGATCCTTTGGGTCTCTCGGCGCTCCCACTTCGTATGAGTATGCCCGACTCGACCCCCAGCTCCATCACACGGTTGGCCCGTGCGTGCCAGCGTGTCCATCTTTGCGTCATCGTGTGGGCCCTCCCCAGCATAGGTAAGGTCTGATCCACATCTGCCCGCAATACTTCAACATCCTGAGGTAAGACCAACGTATTCTGATCAAGCTCAAAAACCGATGTCCGCTTCAACCTCGTCGTGGGACCCACCATCGTACTCCAGGATGTCGTACGCAACACCAAGCCATGGTATGGGATACCCTGCACAAAGACCGTAGAGGTATGCTGAGCAGCGACACCCGACGCACAGATTCTGGTCGGAAAGGTTCCTGCCAGTGTTGTCGACGCTGTCATCTGGCATACGGTAGCATGGATTGGTACACACTGCTGATAAGACTGCCTCCAATTCAAATCCCCAAGGATAATCCAGGGCTTCCCAGCAGCAACAACTTTGGTCCAATCAAAAACTTCATCCATCCATTCAGTACTTGGGACCGACGCGGGTCCATATGCAGATACAATCGTACCAAAAGCTCCACGTGCGCCCATGCACCTGTGACTCTCAGATCGGAGAACTTTAACTCCACCAGCGCGGGGTCGCCGGAACAAAGCAGTCCCCCCTTGCATAGCAACAGACTTCGCATTCTTTCCAGGCGGTACACTGACAGCACACCTCCAGCCCAATCTCTGAGCCGTAGCTGACGCCCACCGTGGTTTCTCCGTATGTAGGCGCACCTCCTGCAGGGCCAAGAAGTCCACCTCCTTCAGGTCGTCGTGCGTGAGCAGCTCCTCCAGCCTGGCGGCGTTCAGAGCTGCGACGTTGATCGTGGCCAAGCGCATCTGGCCGCTCACTGCCGGTGCCTCCCCACCCCCGCGGAGCGGGTCGCGGGGGTCGGGGCGCCCTCAGCACGACGGGCTCGACGCAGACGCTGACGCCGAGGCCGACGTCGTCCGCGCAGCAACCTTCTTCTTCCAGGCCTCCTTCCCGCGCTTGCGCTTCTGGATCAGGTAGCGCTCGCGCTGGGTGCCACTCCTCAACCTCCTCTTGTCCAGCTTCTGGTTCTGGACCCGCTTCCTCTCTTTGTGCTCGGGCCGCTTGGAGCACTCGGCCCAATACTTCCTTCTCTTCTCACGCTTGTCGGGTCCGAAGTTGGCCTTCTTCTTCTGGATGCGCTTCTGCTCCTCCTCAAAGTAATGCCGCATACGTGATACTCCGACCGTACTTGTTAAAAACTGCTTCCGCGTAACTTTATTGCGTCTCCCACTGCATATATTCCAAGGCGCCTGTCCCAGCGCCCTCTGGATGCCACACCGAATACATTTGTAGGCCGCGTAGTTCTTCGTCGAGTTTGGGATCGTCAACGCCGCGCGAGGATCATACTCACACACGGCCTCCTGAATACTGATAGGTAGCTTTGCCTTCCACAACAGATGCTTGGCAAACCCACGCCGGCGTACATTCTCACGAATCCTGGCGGAGTTGGCGAGAAACTGGGAGATATGCGAGTGCACGATCTTCCCGATCTTAGGCGCAGGCTTGCCCTGGCACTTCCTCCAGTGCCTGTCCGCCTGCGCGCTGAGCAAGGAGTTGGACTTGCGCTCACCCATCATCACTCTGTCGGACGTGTCAGGCGTCCAACCACATTTATCACACTTATAATATTCACCAGGTTGCCAAGACCAAAACTGTTTGAATGCATCATCATCGTCTCCTGCAGCTTCCTCCGCCAAAGCCTCAGCTCCACCAGACTCCAAGCCCAGAATACTACGCATCTCGTCCGCACGCTCGTCCAGTCCCAGGATACTCGCAATGGCACCTGAATGTGCTGTCGGTGTACTGCGCAAACCAAGAAGAGATAACCTATCAGCGTCGTCACCATCCCCCTCACCACTCCCTTGCAAGCCATGCTGGGGGTACGGGAAAGCTTGGTCACGCCACAGGCGCAACGTGTTCTGGTACTCGGGCAGGTCTTGGATGTCCGCTCGAGGCTCCAGCCACTGGTAGTGCTGGTCCTCCAGGGTCAACCAGATCTCCTTCTTCTTCATCTTGGAGTTCGGCTCTCGTCCGTACAATATCCATTTGCCAATTGCATCTTTTGCCCATATATAAATATCCGTCTTCGCCTCATGCGCCAGTAACCTCACCGCCAGGGCCCCCGCTGGGTTCCCCGTCCCGCCGCGGTACTCCGCCTGCAGCTTCGTCGTGCCGAACACCTTCTTCAAGCCAGCCCTCTGCGCCAACATACGGAGGTGACCTTGGATCGGGCCCTCCGGCTCGAAGGCGTTGATGGGCGGCACTCGCCCGCTCGGAGAAACGTGATGCAGGTCGCGACCTGCAGCAATATAAAAACAATCTCCATCACCTGCACACTGAACAACTTTGAACCACTAAGCATATGGTGTCACATGTTTGCCCACTGCTTTGCCATCTTCACCTCTCTGCAACTTTGGCTTTGATTCAACCTTGGTCTCCTCCTTCGCCTCGGTCTTGACGTCATCCTTGGTCGGCGTGACTGTCGATGCTCCAGCAGTCGGCGCAGCAGTTGGCGCGGCCGTCGAGGCTGCCTGCTCACCTGCTTCGTCGTCGATGTTCTGGATCCTCGGCTTCGCCGCACCCCACGCACTCCTCGTCGTAGGTGTTGGACCCTCCTTCGGCTTCTGTCGTGCTGGTACTTGAGGCCTTACAGCCTTGGTCACCAACACACCACTTTTGAAAGAGAAACTCGTCGCCACCACACCCTGAGGCGGCTCGGCATAGAATAGCCAGGCCCTCGGCCCAGCTCTGGTCGGCTCCTGAACTCGCAGGAACCCCCTCTCCGTCGCCCAATCCGCCACCAGCTGCGGCGTCGTCCAGGTCGGGAGAGCATGCTTGATGTAGTACTTCGTGCGCTCGAGCATGCCAGGGGCATTGATCTGTGTAGTCGCGCCAAGCTTGGCCCGACCATATGGACGATATACCAACAGATTCCGCTGCTCTTTCAACAACCCACAAACTCTTTTAAGATGATCCTTCGGCGTCTCCTCCTCATTCTGCGTGATCCACTTTGGAGTCGTCGTCGATGCTTGCTTAATAATAAAGCAGCCCAGTGGCGGTATGATCTCACTCATCTTCACCTCGAAACTCTTGGGGACCGTGACCACACAAGTCGTCTCGGCATCATATGCGATAGCACCCCGCGTACGTACAATCTGAGCCGCTGCCACGTCACCCAACACCACCGTCGGCAAGGCCTGGGGCTGGTTATAGATGTGGTGGTAGAGCGTCTCGTCCGTCATCTCCTGCACCACAGTGATGCGGAAGCTCACGAGGGACAGCTTCTCGTGCTGCACCACCTCGTCGTCTTTGATGGCCGCGTCGAGAACCGCTCTCCTGGGAGCGCGCTCTCCGTGGTATGCGATGCGGGCCTTCATCTTCTTTGGGCCTTTCGGCCCATGGAGGAGTACGTGATCTTCACCTGATGCATCCATAACCACATGCGTAATGTCCGTCCTGTTGCTGTATGCTCGTCTCACTTGCTCCGCTGCCGTGTACTCCGCCTCTGTCGAGGAGAAGATGATCAGCGGGTCCGTGTTCGTCTCCAGCTTGGTGCGGGCCTGGCCCGCGGCTACCAGGGCCGCAGTCCCCCAGGGCTCCGCAACCAATCGCTCCGTCGTCGTTGTTGGCGTCGTAGTAGTCGTCGCCTCCTCCAGCGGGCTGTCAGGTTTGGCCGCGCTGAAGGTGGTGATCAGCTCCCGCAACTTGTTGCAGACCACCGTCGTCGTGATGGCCTGCCTCTGAGCGCCAGTAGCGGTGTCCACATACCCGATGAGACTCCGCAGGCGCTCGATGATCTGGATGTCCGTGTACTTGACCTTCTTCTTCTTGGGCTTGGCCTTCTCGGCGCGCATGGCGGGGGCCGCCTGCCACGCCGTCGCAGGAGACTCCTGCGGCAGCCCGATGTGCTGTTGGATCGCACTCACAGCCCTCGCCAGACCCTGGAGAACTGTGGTTTGATCCGATCGGCGTGTCGTCTTCTTTGCACCGCCCTTGCCGCCTCCCCCCAAGAGAGGGTCGACTGGCAGCACACTCCGTGAAGTCAAAGGGCTCCCACTTGTGGAATTCGCACAAGCCGCCACCCTGCTCATAGTATGGCTTCTTTCGTCATACTCGTCCCCCAACGTGAGCCTCCAGGATAAGCAATCTCGTTCTGGAGAATCACAAAATTGAACACCGTGGAGTACATGATCATGCTGATCAAAAGCGTGGTGTACATGATCTCGTGGATCAAGAACCTGACAATCTTCAGTACCTGCCCAGACCCCAAGGTAGTACTTCACATCGCAGGGCTCCCAGTCGAAGTACGCGTGTACCTCATCCCCAACAAAACTCGTGACATCGTCACCGCCCACGCAGCACGCAGTCGAAGACGTACGGGTCGTCCGCCATCTCCACCGCATTCGCCACAGCACCCTCCCGAGGAAGAGCACCGTGCCCGCCAACGCCATGACCATGCCGAAGCGGTCTGGGGGCTGCTGCTCGTTGGCCTGGTCTCGCTGGCAAAGCTCGCTGGGCCTAAAATGGCAGCGGAAAAGGTGCTCGTCTCAGTCTGAGTCTGCCTCGGCTTCTGTCGCCGGTGACCAAACCAGATGAGCCACCACCTACCCCATCCAACCTCCATTAAACTTCACTCAGTGTAAACACTCAGGCAACTCCTCCTTGTAAACACCGCGGTTCAGCGCGAAAG